AAGAAAGTGTCAAGTATCATAACTTTTAAAAATATTGTGAATATTGTGGCCAGTGATATCCCTCTGCCTCCTAGTAGATGTAGTTTTCAGTAGATATAGTATCAAAATCCTAGATAACATCTTACTTGAATCATAGCATTCACAAGAGTTTTAGAAAACCTGACCTCTGATCTTTGACCTTTTCCACTGTGCAAAGTGACTACCGAGTGATGTCTTTTGTAAGTCATTTTGGACATACATTTTGGTCCACTGAGGGGGTTGATTTGTATTTCCAGGTGTCTTTTTTTTTCTACATCTGTTCAACGTCTAGTGTTGAGATCTGTAGGACCTCCGTGTACTGGCTACTAATAGTCCAAATGTGTTTGTTGTGGACATGTTTTCAGTGCCAGACTTTGACTCATTTTAGACCTTGTTTTAATGCTGCTTATATAGTCTTTGTAGGCCCATGTTTTATGTACCTAAACAGTTATGTGTGAAGGAATGCAAAGTGATCAGCAGACGTCTCCAAGATGGCGCGGGCTCTTGACACTAAAAAAGTGAGCTTCTGCATGGAGCAGAAATGTCCCGAGTTTCTCAAAGGCAGTTTGCAAAATGTGTGTATTGAGCAGATAATCCAGTTCATACACACTTGCACAATCTTCTCGTACTTTTCATCACAACCTCTCTCAGTCTTTCTACTGATCACAACCACATTTACTTCCTCTTAGAAAGGTCTTCACAATAAAACAGGATACTTGTAAAAATGAACCAAATATAATGCAAATGCTCTTTTAAACTTGTTAAACATATCATATTCCTTTTAAAAGGAAGTCTAACATTTTTCTAAAGATTTTAAAGATTTTTATTTTATATTTTAAATTATTTCAATTATTTTAATATTTCAACACATAAATGACATTTTTAAACTGGTTACAAAAAAACAATTTGAATAATTGAAATAAAAGAAACCAGTAGAAGAAAAACAGCAAAATGTAAAATAACCCCCCAAAAAATACCCACATGTACTTTTTTATACATATTCAAATGTATTATGTTGATAACAACAATATTGATATTAATCATTAATCATGTAAATTTCTTGCACCTGTCATAGACGTCCAGATGATTTCCAGAAAAATGAATGAGTCCAAAGTTCAAGTGTTGAGCATCACACTGACATTAAAGTTGTTTCATGGTTGGACATCTTGTGG